TGGGAAGCAGGGCAGGCTGCACACACAGGAGACCCTGACTTCTCTCTCTCCCTGTCTTTTTTTTACTTGTTTCTGTCTCTTTCAAAAAGTACTGAGGAAGTCCCCAAAAGCACGTAAATACATCTTAAGTCATTCTGGGTAACTCCATCAGTCCCTAAAATGTCACCTTTGGGTTATATTTTATAAACTTGTCAATTTAAGATGAAAGATTTCAAAAGGTTTGTTTCTCTTCAGATGTAAGAGAGTAAAAAGACAAGACCTCAAACTTAGTTTTATAATAAGGAGGGAAAATAAAGCAATTATATAGAACTTTATAGCTCTTCTCTCTTTCCCCTTCTATTATTTATTATAAGTTTGTTAACTAACCAAGAAAAATGTACTCAGAATAGTTTAAAATATTAAAGAAACAGTGGCACTGTGCCTGCTTGGCAAACACAAGGTCCTGAGTTCAATTCCTGGTACACCCCCCCAAAATTAAAGAAGATACTGTTATGACTTACATTTTTTAAGAAGTATTAATTACTCCTAGAAAAATTCTGTCTAGTTTATTTAGAATTATAAATGTAAAACTATAAAAAGATTATTTTAATTCAAAACAGCCAATTCTTCTAAAAGTCCACTGATTAAACATAATTGCTTTATGTGTTCTTTTGTTGTCCAGCTGCATGCCAGTCTGTTTTAGTAACTGGTTAAAGAACCTGCAGATGCTTCATTAAAGTTTATTTTGAGCTCATATCAATTACATTTTTCCTTTATTTTGTCCTTAATGTCTGATCCTTAAAAGCTCTGTTGGAGCTTTCCATTTAAAAAAAGTTACACAGGTTTTTGGGGATTCCCATACTCACTTAAAACATTACAGGATGCATGTGTGGTGGCACACACTATAATTCTAGCACTCAAGAAGCTGAAGCAGGAGGGTCACTGAGTTCAAAGCCAGCCTGCGCTATATAGTGGGTTCAAGGTCAGCCTGAACTATAACAAAACCCTGATTCAACAAACAAAAACAAAGAACAAAAAAATTACAGGATACAAGCTAATAGGCTCCAGGATTACATGACACTTGCAAATAAAAAGGTTTAAAGTTTAGGACCCAGGGGTTTAGCTCAGTGGAATAAGTGCCTGCTTGGCAAGCACAGGGTTGTAAGTTTTATCCCTTGTAGCGAAAAGAGAAAAAGTTTTAAAGTTTGGCAAAAAAATAATGCTCCAAATACTATACTAAACCCCTGCTAACAGTCTCCAGCTATAACTATAACCTATAGCCATAAAAAGTTTTATCAGTCTCATTAACTATGTCAAAAATGTGTTTTTTAGCCTGTCTTTATATATTCCCATGATATTATTTGGGTATTCTTTCAAATACCTCTCTCAGGTAAAAACTTAGCTTCTTGTATTCAATAGGTATGCCTGTAGAATAAAAATGACACTATAAATACTATGGCTACTAATACTATTACTTTTATGTCATTCACTTTCTTTTATCTTGTTTATATTATCTAGAGCCTGTCATTACAAAAGGCTTCCAGGTCTATAAAATAGAACCTCAGAGTAAAAATTTTAATGGCCTAATAGTCAAAAAATATACTATAGACATCTTAATTTGCCACTGTTATAATTAAAATAAAATAAAATAAAATAAAATAAAATAAAATATAAATAAAACAAAGAGGCATCTCTGTGCTCTTAAAACCCACCTCTAATATTTGAGTAAACACTTCAAAATAATAGAAATTAACACTAAAAACAAAAGACTGCCAAACTTTACTGGCTTCCACTTTTTTTTTTGTACCAGGGATTTAACTCATGATCTTGTGCTTGCCAGGCAGGCACTTATGCCGCTGAGCTAACTCCCCAGTTTTTCACTATTTTTTAGAGCCACTATTTAGTAATAGTCCAGTGTTAGTTTCTGGCCCCACCCTGTTTAACCAGATTATAAAATAAAGTTTAAGAATTAATGACTTGCTATTGTCTTTGTCCTCTGCCAGACTATCAAAAGATGGGCCTTTGTCACCAATCAAACCCGTCTTCCTATGTCCTCTTGATCCGTCAGGATGAGACTTTCGATCCCTGGCTAGATAGGAGCAATGCCCCTTCTCAGCCTGAAACACTTGCGGACAAACAAAACGCCAGGCCTTCTACACCCTGAGACACTAGGGATCAAAATCTCCAGGGGTGAGGGGGATGAGAATAAAAGAAACAAAAAAAAGGAGAGAGAAACCAAGAAAATCATAGCCAAAAATTGTATTTTTAAAAGGGCTGCAGCTTCCAGGACCCAGCCGAAGTCACCCTAAGGCGATCCATGTCAGTGGTCTTTGGTTCAGTGGAGGCTCTTTCCCTTCAAGCCCCTCACACCCAGAATTCTTCAGGAATAGTCCAAGTTCATAAACTGGCCTAAGGGAAAAAGCAAAGAGCAACAGTCTGATCCTATGTTAGAAGAAAGGGTTGAAAGAATCCAAAGAATGTTTAAATTACAAAAAACTAGGCTGAGACCTGTAGAATATGCTAGTACTTTTCTTAGCGGTTTACCACCTTTTCCTGGGATTCCCACCCCTTCAAGGGAAGCATAAATGTTCCCTCTTCTACGAAATGATGCATCTCGTTTCTCTGAGCACCCACACTCACTCTCAAGTGGGTCCTAAAATATCTGTCTAATAAATCCCTCCCATGCCTCTTACTGACATGTCCTGAAAATTCTTTTTCCATGATGTGCATCAACAAACTTTTCTACTGAAGAGCCAGTTAAGCTCCACTTTTCAGTGTGGGAACCTCTCAGACACCACCCGGTGACACTGTGAGACCTAAAGCACAGGCTCCACTCAGCTGGATTCAGACTCCTGATGTACAGAAACTGTGAGATAAATGTGCTTTGTTTGGTCACTAAGATTGTGGCAGTTTCTACTTAGTATGAGAAAACTACTGAAACTCTCGTCCAGTGAAGCTGACAAAAACCGTGTATTGTGTAGCTAATAGGATGTCAGTGGAATGCACAATGGCGGAAGCCCAATGGGAGGATGTGCAGCTGTTTCTATGATGGGTTTACAGTTCCATGCACTTTGACTGTTGACTTACCCACCCCACTGAGGAATTTACTCTGAGGAGACAGCCCAACAGATTCAAAGTAACATCTTCAGGACTGTTCACTGTAGCATTATTTACAGATTAATACCTAACTGTTGGAAACAGTCCAGTAGCACACTGTAGGAGGGTGGATGACCACATAATGGTCATCTGCCCAATGCAGAATTAAGGAGTCATGGAAAAAGAATTAAAATCTCTGAAGTGGAGAAATTCCTAGGATACATACTCAGGTAAGAAAAGTACGGTAAGCTAGTCTACAGAATCCTGTACCTTTTGTATAAGAAAGAAATAAGAATATATGTTTGGACCATGGAGTGTAGCTTGCAGTAGAGCCCTTGCCTAGCATGAGACCCTGAGTTTGATTCCTAGCACCCAAAACAAAAAATTGTCAAAAAATGTGTATGTATTTGCTTAGTTTTTAAAAGACACACTAAAAACTAAATCAGAAACTAATGAAAATAGAAAATGCTTTCTTAGGGAATTGAGGAACAGAATAAGAGGTAGGAGTAAGAGTTGACTTTGAGCACACATTTTACTTTTGAACTAATAAATGTTTATAGAGCAAGAGTAAGTAATAAAAAATGTTATTACTTGAGCTGAGCATGGTGATGCATGCCTATAATCCCAGCACTCGGGAGGCTGAGGCAGGAAGATTGCCACAAGGCCAACTTGGGCTATAGTGAGTTCAAGGCCAGCCTGGACTAGATCGCAAACCCTGTCTCAAAACAAACAAACAACCTGCAATCATTACATAGGTGTTTAAGTAACTGGGGAAATGGAGTCAATATCTTTATTATGAAATGTGGAGAAAAAAACAAGGTGGCTTGATGAATACAGGAATTATGAACTGGAGATGATAAAACAAACATAGGAAAATGTTAAATGCGAATGATAGAACTAGGGAGTGAGTACGCAGGCTAGGTGTTCTCTGTCACTTTCTTGGCTTCATTCTATACCTGGAAACCTTGTTGTAGTTTTTGCAGTGCTAGGGATCAAAGGTAAGGGTTCACACATAATTATAAATTTTATAAAATTAAATCAAAATGTACAAAAAATACCAAACCCTAAAACAATCTTATGTACCAGATGTTAAACAGGTAAACAGTGCTGACCCGGTACAGAACACAGCCAACCTGAATGTAGGGTTCCAGACAGAGCCTCGTGGGGGTATTTCCAAGGGAGACTCGAGTCCAGTTTGCTGAGCTGGGTCTTTTATGGCTGGAGTGGGAGGGTTAGCGGGACTGCCTTAGGCAGGGTGAGGCAGGGCATGAGACTGGGGAGGAGAATGGCTGAGGATGGGCCCACAGCAAAGGCTGATGCTCTGTTGGGGTGTGCTGTGACCTCGCAGAAGGGCCGGGCGTGTTGTGTCCTGGGCGTTGTTCCCAGGCGCGGGCAGCTGGGAGCAGCCATTCCGGGAACTCGGTTAGCTGGGCTGGGGGCAGACTGGGCCAGACCTATCACCATATTGCTAATGGAACATATGGGAGAACGTGTTCAAGTATTTTTAACACAGTACTTTGTTTGTACATGCTTAGAGGGATGTATTGTGAAGACAAAAAAAAAAATTTTAAAGGAATCTTGAAATTTTCTTAATAGAAATCGTAGCCAGAACCTCTGGGTTACAGTAAATGTCAGGCCAACAGATATTTTCCTGAAATAGGCTGCTTAGAATCAGTTTCAGAATGTTAAGTGACCTTACTCACAGTAATTTACCGAGATATCTTCCTGGCATGCAGCTCCATGAAAAATGCCTCACTACTCACTAGGTGGCAATGCTATTCAATCTGAATAAAAGCAGAACTTAAGAACACATGCATCTAATGATCTATATTGACTTTTCCCACCAGTTGACTAAATTAAACTTTCATCTACGCAATTTCAGTAACAAAGAAAAATAGATCCCCTTTCCCCACAGAAGGACTTGCCTCAGTTGATCTCAGAATCACTGAGTCGGCAGGGGCGCCCAGAGTTCACCTGGTCCCTTGATCAGCCTCCAAAGGGCAGCCCTTCTTGATGATGGGCTTTTCTCTGTCTGGGAAGTTCGACCCAAAGTGAAGGAGTCTGTCCTCTCCTGTGGCTGTGTGCTGGCCACATTCTTGGCCTTTGAGACACGTCCTGCTGTCCTTGCTGAGCCCGCTATGGCCGTTGGCTTCCTGCGACGGCGAGGGAGGCTCCCAGGTGATTGGTCATCCTGCTCCCCTGTCTGGCGCAACTGTAGGGAAAATCCTATGATGCAAGACAGGGAGAGTCAATGGGAAATGACAAAGAGGAACAGCAATCACAGAGCCATGTGAGAAACCCCAGAGAACAATGGAGGAGCAGCCCAGATGCAGGGACTGCCACAGCAACACATGATGGGCACGTGATGGACACGTGGAGGCTGGATGGGCGGGGCCAGATGCACAGTGGGAGGAGGAGGGGCTGTGGGATTGCACAGGGAGAAGGGGAGGGAGAGCATCTTCTGTGCCTGTGCAGTGTCCAGCACAAGGTCAGGCACATGATTGATGGTCAATTGATTGCTATAAGATTGATTTGGATATTTTATTCAACAAAATATATTCAAAATATTGCAAACATGTGGCCAATATAAAAACTATTGAGTTTTTTTTTCATTAACAAAAGTCTTATTTACATTAAGCAGAATGAACTAATTCTGACTCTCACTGTGGTGCCATCACACAGCATGACCTTGGATAAATCTTTCTACTTCTGAGCCTGAAGTGAGGAAACCAGGTGTGGTATGCATACCTGTGATTCCAACATTTGGGAGGCTGAAGCAAGAGGATCACCACAAACTCAAGTCCAGCCTAAACTGCATACTGAGAGCCTGCTCAAAAACAAAAACAAAAAAGTAATCTAAAACATACATAAAATACATTATCAATAAACAATGGTTGGACTTGGTAAAAAGAAACTGGATGGTATGGTGGGCGTGAGGATTCACTGCAATAGGTCAAGCACAGAGTGGCACAGGAGCCTATGGAGTCAATAATGCCACAAACTTTAAAGGGTCTGGTCCAGGCCTGGCGGTGCACGCCCATAATCCTAGCCACTCATTAGGCTGAGTAGCTTGAAGTCAGCCTGGCCCATCTGGTGAGACCTAGTCTCAAGAATAAAAAGGGCTTGTGATGTAACTCAGAGGACTTCCTATATGTGAGACCCTGGGTTCCATATGCAGCACTGAAGGAAGGAAGGAAGGAAGGAAGGAAGGAAGGAAGGAAGGAAAGGAGGGAGTGATGAAGATAGAAAAAGAGAAGGGGAGGGTGAGAAAAGAAGTCTGGCAGTGAAGGAAGATCAAGACAGGAAAATGCTTGAGTACGTGTCATTCAAGCTGGGAAGAAGCCAGGAGATAGGAAGAAGGTGCAGGTGGTAAGGGAGAGGCAGGTGACCTGTGAGACAAGGGCAGGTGGGGAGGCCAGGTGAGTGAGCAGGCGCGAAGAGAAGAACACTGAGCTTATTAGACACCTGGAATACAAACACACACACACACACACACACACACACACACTACATGACAAACATATTTTCAGAAATAATAATAAAATGAAGCAAATAAAATCCAGAAAGTAGCTAGGTAAGGTGGCACATGCCTATAATCTAAGCACAGGGGAGGCTGAGGCAAGAGGATCACCAGGAGTTCAAGGCCAGCCTGGGCTACGTAGATAGACCCTGTCTTGAAAGAACTGATGAATGAATGAATGGATAGATGGATCCATCAATAGATAGATAGATAGATAGATAGATAGATAGATAGGTAGATAGATAGAAAAAGAAAAGAAAAAAACAGAATTATGTTAAAGGCATGGGAGTCTTAGACTGCTTACTGTTCAGATTTTAAACACAAAGGGAGCCTGGTGTGGTGGCACACACCTGTAATCCCAGCACTCTGGGGGCTGAGACAGGAGGATTGCTGCTAGTTCAAGACCAGTCTGGGATACATAGTGAGTTCAGGGGCAGCCTGAACTATACAGTGAGGCCCTGTCTTAAAACAAAACAAAAACAAACAAAAATAAGCCACACACAAAGGGGCCAGAGGTATAGCTCAATGGTAGAGCACATGTCTAGCCCATGAGAGGCCCTGGGTGCCATCCTTATCACCATGAAAATTCAGAATGGTGGGGCTGGGGAGTTGCAGAGAGAAAAAAAGAATACAAATTCCAAGTAGTAAAACAAGCAGTGACAGGACTTCAGTGACCCTCCACTTTTAAATTACTGTGCTTTCATTATATATTTCACACCTAGTGTTTAAAAGCAGAAATAGAGTACCTCAGGGAGTTTTCTTCTGAGTGCGCAGTATACAGAGTGCAGAGTTACAGAAGACTGAGACAGGGAGGAAGTTGAGGTACCTCTCCTCAGATGCCTGTAACACTCTCAAATCCACGGGAACCATGTTCCTGCAGTTAAAACCAGGAACTAAACAACACTGAAATGTTCCCCATTAAAAGCCAAAGGTTCTTTTTTTAAAGTAATGATGGGATGAGTATAGTTTAGGCTGGATCAGGACCACATGTCTAATTTGCATGACTTGTATTAATAATTTCAAGATGGTGACTGCATGTGGGCTTTTCTGTGCAGAGACTTAGGTTACTATTTCCTGAAACAAGCCCCATGGGTGACAGGGACTTAAGAATCATCTGCCTCCTCCAGCCCTCTGTGTCCTCAGAGGTGACTTTTTGTTTGACTGCTTTATTTTTTTGGCACACGGACTCATAGCCTGTGCTGGTCTCCATCTTTCAGATCTTCCTGCCTCAGCCTCCCAAGTGCTGTGAGTACTGACATGTGCCTCCACAGTTGGCTCTTGTCCAAGGATGTTCCAAAGGGAGGTTTGAAAGCACACATGGGACCAGAGCAGGAGTCCTTTTGTCTTTGACAGGATAACTATAACTCAGCCCGGAGTTCTTAAATAAGCTCAGGCCATTAAATCGTGCAGGATCTAACTGCCAGACAGGACTGAAAGTCCACCAACAAGCGTCTCCTGAGATCCGCCATGTTGGAACTTAGGATGTTGGAAAACCAAGCAGCCAGCCTGCCTCCCTGCTAAGCAGTAGTGAGCCTGCAGGTGCACAGGCTGAGAGTCATCATCCCACTTCCCCACTGCCCCCACCCCCGTTAGCAAATGGGAACCAGAGATCTGAGCATCTCCTGGGAGGTGACCATAGCAAATAAGGGGGACTTCCTTCTACCATCTCTTTGAAGGCAAATATTTTTATTACTGTTTTGCTTTATTCTAATTAATGGTACTGCTCTATTCAATACTCTGTTTTGATAAGTTCTATAATGTTCTGTATTTCATTTTATTTTGATATATGTGATTGAAAGAACAACTATTGAGAAGACAATGAGATATACTGTGATACCTATTACTGTTATCCTGGTAACCTGCTGTGAAGTTCTGTACCAATTTCACTTCACGGTGTCAGTTTGCTTTATTCTGTCTTGTTCTGTTGTATTTTACTACCTTCAAAATAACAATTAAAAAATATTAATCTATGAAAGTGGTGAAGGGTTATGGAAGTAAAGGAGAGTGGAACAGTGAATGACTGGCCCACTGGAGGACCTCCAATGTATGCACCCCAGTGACTTCCCTCCTAACAGAAACCTCCCCTTCACTATCAGAATCCAGTTGTAGGGAGCCACTTCCGATTGCTTTGCAGTCCTTGGCATCTGAGGATGCGTAAAGATAGGACCCTGCTAAAAAAAAAAAAAAAAAAGATAGGACCCTGCTGGCTAGCGCAGCTGCACAATGAGGTGCACGTGTAAGCATGACTTAGCCTCACAGTCGGGCATGCGCTATATGCCTATGACGGTACCCAAGAATGTGAACCTTGATGACCCTCAATATGTACCGGCTAAGCAACAAAGATATTTGTTTGCAGTGTGGGCTATTTTGCTGACGTCGGCTCTGCGTGCTTTCTTTCCTCTGGGGACCTCATCGAAGGAAATATCCCACCATTCCCCCAACCCTTAAAAGTGTCACAGTCAGCAAGTAACACTTGCTGAAGTGAGTGTCCCTGTGAAATCTGTGGGAAAAGTGCCTGACAGCTAGGGAGAGCCCCAAGGCATTGCCAAGGAGCTTCCCCAGACCTTGTACTGGTTAACTATAGTCCCCTTTTTAGCAGATTGGAAGGCTCCTGAGGCCTGGGAAGTGGTCTTCTGACAACCAGGGATGTGTTGAGGATTCTGGAAGTGATAGACAAGCAATCCCTCCCCCTCCATAGTGAGGCAGAGGGGTGGGTGGCTTGGCTGTTTGTCACCCTTTTCCAATGAACTGGAAGATCTCCAGCAAGTAGGCCAGCTGAAACAGACTGAGAAAGATCTGGAACAACAGCTGGCTGCTGTGCAAGTCACGCTGCGGGCCATGGAAAGTACCACCCCCTCCCAAAGTGTGAGTCCCCATCCCAGGGAGAGTCCCCCTGGGTTTGTATGCCAGGCCTGCTGTTTGTTGGGAGGTGGAGGTGGAGGTGGAGGAGCCCCTAGCCCAAGGAGGGGGACTGGGAGGATCACCCACCTCTATCTATTACACAGTATACATGACCTACAGGGCCACGGAGTTAAGGGCGCTAATGAAACAATTGAAACAAAAGGTGGATGAGATAGTGCCTGCATGGCTGCCACAGCTATGGGACACCAGGGGTGATATCATGCAGTTACACCTGCAGGTGAAGTCCCAAATAGCCAGCGGAGCCAGGACCCCCTCTCTGATGGGTTCTACAGGATGTACCAAGGACAGCCCTGGAACAGGTAACCAGACTTTGATAAACCGGTTAATGCCAGCTGCCCACCTGGTTTGAGAGAATCCAGACATATTGCTGAAACAAGTCATGAAATGGACAACCTACCTAGACTTAATATTTGTGCTACGAGAAATGGGCATGGACAAATAACGGTCACCATGCAGTACTGTAGGCCTGGTGAGGAGGTGCTTACAGCATGTATGAAGAACTTGATTTTGGTGAGCAGGCCCGGTGGCATGATCGAGTCACTGGCAGCCCTCCTAACCCCCTTCACAGATCACCCAACTCATTATACTGTGGATTCCTAAGCCTGGCTGAGGGACATGGAAATAAAGCACAAGGTAAGATGATACTTATAAAAAAAAAAATGTACCACCAAAAGAGCAGGTGGCCCCTGGCCAAGCGGGGCCAACATCCATGGATGGCTATGGGGCCACTGAAGGTCATTTGGCACCAAATATAAGTGGGCTTGTGGCTGCTGGCTTAGCCACAAGTAAGACAGATGGGCACATTGCTGGCTCTGTGGTGGCAGTTACACCCTGAGCAGCAATACCAACTGATGGACCTGTAGGTAAAGGCAGCCCCAGTGAAGTGGGAAGATGTGACACTGGCTTCCTTTTATCCACAGGCTGAAGTACCTAGTTAATGGGGACCCCAGGAGACCAGAGGCCACATTAGAACTATTTACTCGTCTCCCCAGAGAGCATACAGTGTATACTGGTGTTGGTAGATACCAGAGCCGATGCTAATATATGACAACCCAGCCTGTTTCACAGGATGTATTGCACGCATAGAAGGGCATGGAGGTCACTATATAGCCAGGTGACACTGGGTGTCAGGCGATTGGCTCTGTACCCTGATGATGTCTGTTTTTCCTGAGGTAACTGAATACATACTAGAGTGGTGCTCTGCTCAGCACCATGTAGGGAGAATTCCACTTGCAAATCCATATGGTAAAAACCATAGTCAGTTGACATCCACATCACTCACCACTGACTCTCCTGAAGGCTACAAGGGTTGTTGTATGCATGAAGCAGTATTGCCTACCTGGGGGCCAAGTGGGAAAAAGCATTTCAAAATTGGAAGAGGTGGG